TTTGACTAGCCTCTCCAGGCTCTACAAGTATTCTTTTCCTAGCCTTTTCAGGCTTTACAATGTTGGAGCCTCTTCAGGCTTTAAAAATATCAACTAGGCAAGTTTGGTTTGAGTGTTTAGGTTACTCTCATAGAGAGGATACATGGGTTGATACACTCACTAAGGTTTGCATCCTTAGTTTTTGCAACGATTGAGTGTGGTTTACTCTCATAGAGAGGATACATAAACTTGTTACACTCTCTAAGGTACACGTTCCTATGTTACACTTATAACTCCTTAGTCTACAGAGAGAAATAAACTAAGGTACATTTGACTCTATATGCTCTGTCTCTGGCTTCATTGCTATATGGGCTTGATATCACTTTTTGTTCGTATTCGAAAAGCCAACCATTCAAGGTTTGAAGTAGTGATATATATATATATATATATATGGTCTCGTAGAAATTTTCCCGTTGCAAGTATCCGTTGAAGCTGATATAGTCGTTCATGACTAGTTTGATCCTTTCATTTAATGCATTTGATCTTGCATTAAATGTTGCTTCCTATTTTTAGACATTGCGTGTATTCTTCTCTGTCCTGTTGGCAGCAATGTTTGACTTTATCTGAGACCTAGGAATTATTTGTCTTTTTCTGATCATGCAACAATATAGCCGTTGTCCTTATCTGAAAAAGTAACGCACTTTTTCTAACACATGCATGCTTTTGCTTTTGCGTTCTTCTCTTCTTCTTCATTTCTTTATTTAGATCATGCATTTTATGTTGAGAGCTTTTGTGTGGTCATAGACAATGTCTTGGTTTGTTTCTTGAGACTTGATTCTTTAATTGCTTGCGTGGAAGTCTTCGTCTTCGTCTGTTGGTTCTGTGCATCTTAATATTGACCTTCGTCTCAGCGTCTGAGTTTAATGCTTTGAATTTTCTTTTGATCTGGTCAACAATGTGAATAGACAAACATTGTTTCCGCCTGGAGTGTCTTTCCGTCTGTGTTGTCCTTCTTCTAATGCATAGTTGACTTTTCTTCTCATCTTTGTCTCATGCTTGGTCCATTTCTTCATGTTGCACTGGAGGCTGTTCTTGATACACCTCCATATGATATTGGACTCATAGTCGTCTGGTGCACATATTGTACTTTTTCTATTCAATTAGCTTGAATTGTCTAGTTCTCATGATGTGCCTTGCCTTAATTATTCTTTTAACAGAGTTGACCATCTAGCTTCATCTGATGTTTGCGACAGCTTTTCTTGTTCCAAGTTTGGTCTCGCGTTGGCTTTTCTTCTGATACTCCAATGTCTCTTTCTAGTAGTAGTCCTCATCTGGTGTTTGTTGAATGTTCTTCCGTCCGTGAGCAGACCTAGTTTCGATGCTTGACTAGCCATCATCTGATTCTCTTATTTAGTTTGCACAGGCTTCATGGATTCTTGCATTTAATGTTTGCTTGCTTCTATATCTGACATTAATCATGACATAGATATCTCTGTACTTTCTTGGTATTGTAGCTACAGAGGCGTTGTCCTTTGCTGACTGGTAGGTGTACTTGCTCTAACACATGCAGCTTTGATTTGTGGATACAAGCTAGTCCATTTTGCTTTTCTCTCTTCTTCTATTTTGATGACTTCATGTGTTCTTCTAAGAGTGTGGATGCTAGGTAGTTCTTCTCGTTGTGACTTCAGACGCAATCCAGCCTTCTTAGTTTTTGTCTGTGTATTTAAGTCTCTGTCTGGTCAGCTGTGCAAGCTTTTGACTCCGTCTAGGATGCTTTGACTTAGTTTTGTCCGTCGTCCATGGTCTTGTATCATCTGAGGCTTCATTACTTTTCTTCTTGTGTTGGGCTTGATTTTGTTTGATCGTTTTATCTCCTCATCTGACATCTTGTTAGCTTTTTCCCTTCATTTTGGTTGCTCGTGCTCTTGTCCTTTATTTCCTTTGTGTTTACATTTGTGGGTGTCTTCGTCTGATGTATTTCCTTCTTTTGATCAAACTTTATCCGGTGCTTAGCTCATATCTCTTGGTTCTGGTGTAGACGATAATACATGTATATTCTTTATTCTTCAGTTTGCCTGTACTAATGTCTTTTCTAAAATACTAACACACTTGTTAGAAATAACAATACACATTATATTTATCTCATTCAAAACCTTACTGGGAGTTTCTTCGTCTGACTTAACAATTTATAAATTAATATAATACTCAATTGAATCACCAATTTAATAGAATCTTAACTCAAATAGTAAAACCCCCAATTTTTCTAAAACCTATCTCACAGACACTTTTCTACAATTTCGTTCTCTCTCCCAGATCACATCATTTTTACAAATTAATTGCATATTCCTAATCCTCAATACATGCAAAATCTAATGGCATCATCAATTCCTCAAACATAAATAATTATAAAATTACCCATAATCCTACGGAATTCCTCCTCTACCCAATTCCCTCATGTAACTTTGCATACAAATAATTCCCTTTTCCCTCATACCTTGATAAGCAATAGTTGAAACTAAGCAGGATTTGGTTGGTCTCCTCCTCTGGGTTTCCCTTGGTCTTCAGAGAGTGTGAAAGAAAAGAAGTTAGAAGTAAAAAGTGTGCTTTTGGGAGTGTCAGAGCATGCTATTTATAGGCATTAGGCATGGCCGGAACGACCCGTTTTGAATCTGGAATGGCCTGTTCTGGACTCATTCATTATGTGTAAAATTCACATCTAGAACGACCTGTTCTGGGGTTGCATTTTAAGCCATACCATGCTTGGAACGACTCGTTCCCAACTAGGGTTATAGGCCTTTTTAGTAGTTTGGAACGACCCGTTCTAGTTTGGGAATGACCCATTTTGGGATACTAAATCACCCTTGTTTTAGTAATTTGTAACGACCGTTCTAATTTGGGAACGACCCGTTCTGGGACACTAAATCACCCTTATAAATTTATGAAAATTACTTATTACCCTCAATAAAAAGTATGAAAACTGGGGTGTTACACGTTGGGCTAACCCATTTTACCATCTCTATATAGGACTACAATGTGCATTAAATACATACATGGTAGCTTGCAATGAACTCATTGGAAAGTGCTCTTGCAGTAAAGAAGTGAGTAAATTGAAAATTTAATTATATGTAAATTTTACTAAAAGGTCTCACAAAACTTATCCTTTAAAACAATTAATTGAAATTTGTGTTTAAATAATAACTCGTGGCTTAATTAATATATAGGTGTTCATATTCAATATACATTATTACCATTACTTTGTCTATCTTCTTCGTTGATCCTAGAGATAATTTTTGATGCAATTAATACGATCATTAAATGCCTTTCAGTAAAGTATGTATCTCTTATCTGATCTAGCAAGCTACCTATCACCATTTCCATCTAAATTGAGCATGGCAGAAATAATGTTAGTGGATAATAGTTGAAGCCAGTGCAAAACAGTCTTTTGTAGAGTTTTTTCCGTGATATTTGAGATTTTGCTTTTTGCTTTTCACATATATTTTCTCTTTTTCTTCCTTAACAACTTTTGATAGTTTGGAGACATCTTTCTTGTTTGATCTTTTAAGAAATAACACATTTAATAAAATTTTAAGGTTAGTCTCATTTAGAGGCATTCATTTAATGCATAGAGACAGACTATATGCTTCGTTTGACGACCTTACACTAGAATATTATTTAACAATTGAATGATGTTGTTATCTTTTGTTTAATTTTTTTAAAACTATTATAATTTATCTTTAAAAGTTGGTAAAATTATTATTCTTATATATAAATTAAAGAAGTTTGTTAAATATAATTTTAGTCTCTTTATGATAAATGAATTTTGATTTTGGTGATGTAAAAAAAATTCTTTAATTTTTATATCTTTAAAATTTGAGATCTTTTTTTTTGTGTTTATAAAATAATCTTATTTTGGTTTCATCTATTGTAAAACAAAATTATTTGATTTTCATTCTAGCAAAATTTGAATAACTAAAAGTTTTGATTTTAAATACTTATTTAAAAATAAATAAATAAATAAATGGAATTTATAGAAAGAATTTAAAAATAAAAATAAAAGTCAATTGATACTGAAAGTACTAATAAGTGTCACTTAAAATAATCTCAGTTAACTTATAATTAAATACATAAATAATTAATGTAATGATCCAACAAGTCATTATATTATTACTGAACAACTATTGCGTAGCGGAAAATTAAACGACATATATCAGAATAGGGAATTAGAGAAGGAAAGATCCCTCGCAAATCCCTCGCTAAACAGAATAGCGAGGGACTAGCGAGGGATTTGCGAGAGATCTTTCCCTCGCTAAATTCAAGTCGCTAATTAGCCACGGATGCATATCCCTCGCAATTCCCTCGCTACATTCCTTCGCTTTTCCCTCGCAACTAGCTTTGCTAGTCCGTCGTAAATTTGTGCCGCTAATTTATCACTGTCGCCTCGCAAACGTAGAACCTAAATTCCCTCGCTAATTGCATTTAATATGTCCTTCGCTAATCCCTCACTAAACCCTCGCAAATATGTCCTTCGCTAATCCCTCGCTAATCCCTCGCAAATATGTCCTTCGCAAATCCCTCGCTAATCCCACGCAAATCCATCAAAGCATATGGATTGAGTTCTTTCACGAATACCACGCTAATCTCTCGCTAATATCTTGCAAAACCTTCCTAATTTATCTATATATACACATTATTCTCTCATGAATCCCTGTAGATATACCACTTAATTCAACTACATAATTTTTTTTCAATTCAGCATGATTTAAAATAAAAGTTACATGTAACAATATCTCTTACAAAACCAAATTGTTAAATGTCTTACAAAATTCAACTTGTACATACTATCTTAAAGAAACCCAAACTAATTAATGTCTTACAAAAAGAAAAGTCAAATAACGAGTCATCCTAAATAGTAATCAACCTAAGCTAGTAAAATCATCATCTCGTCCTTAATCCTCCCTATGTTGGTTGGTTGATGGTGTTGTTGATGGTTGAACTGTCTGAATTATTTTCCTCATCATCTCTGGTAATTGTGTTTGCAAAAAAGAGGCCAATGCATTATTTATAACTGTAGTGACCCGTTCTTCTGTCATAGGCGTAAGATTTGTAGAGGAACCTGCAACCTCTGGAGATGAAGCTTGGGTAGAGCTACTAGTTCCAAGATCCAAGCTATGTCCCATGCCATGCACTCTTTTCTTCTTGTTTTCACCTGCAACTTTTAACCAAAGATCAAAATCAATTACAGGATGCGATGAAGTGTCTTCTCCATATTTTTGTGTCATTGATTCTTCATATGTTTCCTACAAATAATAAATATAAAAAAATAAGTGAAATAGTAAGAGATTAAAAAATTACATAATCAGTCTTAAAATATAAAATAACATACAATAAATTTCTTTGCCCTAGTTGAGACAAATTCACCATCATTTTTTTTGTGAACTTTGTTATACACTTCACGATAAGAAACAGGACGATTCTCTTGTGCCTCCTGTAAAAAAATTACAGTACAAATTGTAAGTAATGAAATTTACCAAAGAAACTCATTAATTTTCAAAACCTTCAACTTTCACAACTTGTTAAAGAATTAAAAAAAAAACTGCACTTAAAAAAAATCCATGGATAAAGATTTTTAAGACATCATTAATAACACAATTTTAATTGTAACAAATTCCAAATATTAGAATAGAAATAAAGTAAACATCACTAATTAATTATTGACAAAATTCATTGATTAAAGAATTAAAAAAAAAACTGCACTTAAAAAAAATCCATGGATAAAGATTTTTAAGACATCATTAATAACACAATTTTAATTGTAACAAATTCCAAATATTAGAATAGAAATAAAGTAAACATCACTAATTAATTATTGACAAAATTCATTGATTAATTCATCAATGAATACCTGTACATAACCTAAATCACATCATTCTGCCATTTAGTCGAACTCTGAACATAAAAATATCAGGTTTAAAATAAGTGGAACTATTCTCAGTGATACAAGTGCAAAACCTTGAAAAAAATTTACCATACAAAACTGGAGTATCAAAAAGCCTGGAGAAAAATGTCTAGATTGTCTAAACATTGAACATGAGCAGGCTTCCATATGTCACAATATGTATGGAATGTTTCAGCAATTCCAAGAATATTGAAGAGAAATTATATCTGCTTAATAAAAGTTGCATGTAACAATATCTCTTACAAAACCAAATTGTTAAATGTCTTACAAAATCCAACTTGTGCATACTATCTTAAAGAAACCTAAACTAATTAATGTCTTACAAAAAGAAAATTCAAATAACGAGTCATCCTAAATAGTAATCAACCTAAGCTAGTAAAATCATCATCTCGTCCTTGATCCTCCCTATGTTGGTTGGTTGATGGTGTTGTTGATGGTTGAACTGCTTGAATTATTTGCCTCATCATCTCTAGTAATTGTGTTTGCAAAAAAGAGGCCAATGCATTATTTATAACTGTAGTGACCCGTTCTTCTGTCATAGGCGTAAGATTTGTAGAGGAACCTGCAACCTCTGGAGATGAAGTTTGGGTAGAGCTACTAGTTCCAAGATCCAAGCTATGTCCTATGCCATGCACTCTTTTCTTCTTGTTTTCACTTGCAGCTTTTAACCAAAGATCAGAATCAATTACAGGATATTCCTCTAAATCTAAAGATATCTAGTTATCATACATCCTAGATGAATGATGTAGAAATTGCACTCTGTTCACATATAAAGCTAGATAAAGCTTGAAGTTGGCATAGCTATTAGTAACATATGGAGGCAGAAGTAGGGGTAAAATTTATAAAGTTTAGTAAATAGGTGTGTTTTAAGATAATAACATACTATTTATAGGGAGATATTAGCTTAGTTCATACCAATTTCAATTTCTTTGTCAAATCTTCCTGGTTGTCTGAGAGCTGGCTCAATATGGTCAAGCCGGTTAGTGGCAGCAATTACAAGTAGCCCTTCAGTTCTGCTAATTCCATCCATTAGATTCAATAAAGTTGCAACCAATCTTTGAGATAGCTCTTCACCCCCATCTTTCCTTGCAGGGGCAATTGCATCTAATTCATCAATGAATACCTGTACATAACCTAAATCACATCATTCTGCCATTTAGTCGAACTCTGAACATAAAAATATCAGGTTTAAAATAAGTGGAACTATTCTCAGTGATACAAGTGCAAAACCTTGAAAAAAATTTACCATACAAAACTGGAGTATCAAAAAGCCTGGAGAAAAATGTCTAGATTGTCTAAACATTGAACATGAGCAGGCTTCCATATGTCACAATATGTATGGAATGTTTCAGCGATTCCAAGAATATTGAAGAGAAATTATATCTGCTTAATGGTGTAAGTCTCACCTCAATGTTTTGTGCAGTGAACTGCTCACATCAGAGAAATTATAGATACAAGAATAATTTTCGATATAAGACTGTCTTTTACACACTCAATGACACAAATGGAGGCTAATACGCATAATAAAATGAAATGTTCATGAATTTTATGATAATTTAGGCAACTTTGAGGATTTTTAATTCATAGAAGAGAATTAAACAAAAATATGAATTATCTATAATTTTGTACCAGAACTAGAAATAAAAAACCAGGGCACTAAATGGAAAAATAATGTTTAAATTTTAATTTTATACAATACTATTGCCTTCAAATCTCATCAATTTCCACAATTAAAACATTTTGTAATTGAATGCCTTAGAAACTTCAGTTATCTCCTGTGCGATTTCCCTTGATTTATTAAGAGCAACATGCCAGCAGCACATACACTACATTAAAGATATTATAACAGAAAGCATAAAAAAGGATCTCTTAGTAAATGCACTTGTATCACAAATGTGAAAAGGGGTATAAAAGAGAGAAA